AGAGTTTTGGAGTCTGGAAGTCTTTGTCCCATGCTAAAAAGTCTTCTCACAATGAGATGGGCAGTCATGGATAGCAACATTGGAGTGCAGCCCTCTGCCCTTTTTTTGGACTTGGTTTCTTACTGTAGTCTTCCCCCAGGAGCTTGGAGTCAACTGTCAGGCTGTGCATACAGCTGGGTGAAATATTTGGGACAAATAACTTATTTGCTGAAAAATGCAGCTTTGGTTGACCCAAAACTATTAATGAATTTGTCTCAAATTCATGAAATAGTTTCAGGAAAAAATAAACTTTTGGGGGACTAGATTCACAAGTAGATTTAGGTGTCAGTCACAAAAAAAGTTGGAGGATTGGAGAAGTTCTGATCCAAATTCAGTTCCAAATTCATTTCTTCTTCTTTTGTAACCCCAAGAAACTTCCCATCCTCAAGTAAACTGGGTGTGGACTAGTCACACAGCATGTGCTTTTGCATCAGACTGAATTAGCGTCTGCACAACACTGTGCTAATAAAGGAGAAGAAGTTTAACAATGTGTTACATGCCACTTTCTTATCCTGACTTTGGAGCACTTAGCCCATCAGTCTAAAGCTGCTGTATTTTAAAGAATATATTTGCAGGTTATGGTTACCTTTAATGGAAGGCAGCATGGCCTAGTGGTTAGGATACTAGACTGAGACTTGGGAATTCTGTTTCTAATCTACCACTGGGTGACCTTGGGCAAGTCATTTCACCGCCCCGTGCCTTGGTTTCCCCATCTGTAAAATAGAGTTAATGCTGTTTACCTCCTTTGTAAAGAGTTTTGAGACCTATGGAAGACAAGTGCTATATAAGAGCTAGGTATTATTATAATACAAGAAGCAACAGTTTACAGATCTAATAACATCATCTTTTGGGTAGTACTGTGATTTATTCTCCATCTAAGTACTAGCTGTGGGGCCCATTCTGCCAATGGCGGTGTTTCCTCTGTTTCCAAAGTCCAATGGAGGTTGGGTGAGCTCAACAGCCCTCTGGATTAGCCCTGTATCTGCAGTACTGTACTGAGCATAGCTATTTATAAAGAACTCCTACTGGCCACTAGAGGGTGAGCTGAGATCATCCAGTGCAATAGTCTAAAATATTCACTCCCAATGTGTAGAAGAGAGGAATGATATTTATTCATCCGGATAGTCTAACAGCTGTATAGTACAGTAGTGTTGGTATAGGGACATATGGACTATTGACAAATGAGTTAAAAGGCACATGTGAGGGGAAACTTGAAAATTAATATAGTAAAGGGAGGGATTGTTGAGTGGCAAAGTGTCCATATTGTTGGCTTGGAAATGTAGTTGAGCCGTGGCCTTCTGAGCCAGCATGTATCATGGACAGGACGTTATGTGGCTCCTGTAGGGTGGGCAAGTGAGAATGGGATTCAGAGATCCACACTCACCACCATCTTAGTACGAGGGAAAACCATTGGCAAACAGCTGGTCATGCATAAAATCATGTCTACTTGTTTTCCAATATTTATGCTAGTTACTGTATTGTTACACATGTTTATTCTGTCTGCAGGCTAAGTGAAGTAACAGTTGAAGCCCAGATTTTATTTTGCTGCTTCGTCAACAGTTTGTTGTGAATGTATAAAGCTTGATATGGCATTGTGTGTACTTTCTACTTGTTGCATAGCTGTGATTATTCAGCTAACTCATGTGTTAGGGTATCTGTTCCCTGAGTGAATGATGGTGCAAGCCTGCTCATGAGACTATTCCAAGGTGAGAATTAAAAATCTGATCTCTGAAAAGTTGTTCAGGCAACTTTGGAATTCACTTTTCATGAATGTTTATACCAGTGAAACTTGCTCACCCAAATGTTCAAGGAAAGCAAACACAAGAGGAGATCAAAGACTTTTGTTTAAAAATCCAAACAAAGATTCATGCAGTATCCAAGCAGCGCTAAGCAATGGTGAAAGATGTTTGTTGAGCACAGGTTGGTCTGGGTTTCAGTTGAGGGGATGTGACTTGCAGTGAAGGACAGTTGTTAGTTAAACTGGCATGAGTATGGATACAGCAGGGCTGTGTGACAGTTTTTAAATTCTGTAGAGCTGTGCTCTTGAGAAATCAGCCAGAAGTGCTGTGTGACACTATAAAAAGTCCCAGCTCTGTTGTGCCCCTTTGCAAAACACATCTATAATAAAGGGATGAAAACAGGTCAGTTCCCTTCATCTGAAACAAATATATTCATAAAAAGAACAGGAGTACTTGTGGCACCTTAGTGACTAACAAATTTATTTCAGCATAAACTGAAGAAGTGAGCTGTAGCCCACGAAAGCTTATGCTGAAATAAATTTGTTAGTCTCTAAGGTGCCACAAGTACTCCTGTTCTTTTTGCGGATACAGACTAACACGGCTGCTACTCTGAAATATATTCATATAGTCTGAGAGAGAAACAGGAAGAAAGGGTAAGATACCTGCTGAGAAATATGCGAAAAAAGAACAACCTCCTGGGCTCAGCTGCCAGTTGAATTGACAAAGAAGACAATAGGCTGCATGAGCAGATCACAGAGCCTATCTTCATACTGATGAGATGTGGCTAGGGAAAGCAAGCAAAGGAATCTGCTGTAGTCTGTGGTTTCAGGGTCTTTCCTATGATATTTGTACTGAGAATTAGCATCTTGAAAATTAGCCTCAGAAAAGCTGGATTCTCACTATCTGAAAGAGAAGGGATCTCTTATCCAGGCAGCAATTTGTGAAAGAATGATACACAGACTGTAAAATAAAATATGTCATCAAATGCGTCAATAAAATGTTTTATTGATCTCCAGAAAAAGTGGCAAAACATTGCTATAAACCTGTAAATATATGTATAACTGTCTGTTATGTACAATTATATAGTGGGATGGTTATTGAATGACTTACCTGGGCCTATGCCAGTATTATTGCTTCCTTTATGGGTAATGAATTTTTTTGTTTGGCTTCTTTTTATGAGCTTTTGTTTTACTAATGCAATTCTATACCCACAGCAGCATTTTTTCTTGGTTTTAAAATACTTTGCAAAAAGTGGAAACAAAGCTGTAGTTGGGGTATAATTGAAACATAGTGATCATTCTGCTACTTCCTCTCCAGCATGGACTAAGGCTCATTTATCCAGGCTTCTACCCAGGTGTTTCAGGAAGGGAACTTCAATTGACATCAGGTGCTCAGTGGCCTGGGCCCTGGCTACCTAAAAGATTCCCCAAAGCTCCCGGTTAGAGACCCTGGTCACCAGCTCAGTTCCTCAGGCACAATACAAGTCTGTGCAGGAGACAGAGCTTTCTCAGGCATCAGTCCATGGAAAGAACTCCCCCAGAAACTAACCTCACCACCCCAAACCTCACCACCTTCTGCTCTAAGTGCAAGGCGTGCTGCTTCGACCTTCACTTCTTGAATGCAAACACAGAGCAAACACATACAGTGGCAGATTAGCCACTGGGCCAACGAGGCCAGTCCCCAGGGGCCCCAGCCAATTGCGGGGCCCTTAGGAAAATGGGCACCCCTGTGCCCCAACCTGCTTCACCTGCCCAGCGCTCCTGCAGGGAAGCGGGGAAGCTCCTGCACTCCGACCCTGCTCTCCAGCAGAAGTGCCAGGCTGGCAGGAGAAGCCCCTGTTCCCTGACCCAGCTCCCTGGCAGGAGTGCTGGGCAGGGGGGCGGGGTCGAAGGGGCAAGCCCCCACATCCTGACCCCATTTCCCTGGTAGGAGTGGTGGGGGGAGGAGTGGAGAGGGGAGAGAGGGGGGACTGCAGGCAGAAGGGGTGGGGAGAGGCCCCCATTTGCTCTGATCCAGGGGCCCACAAACCCTTAATCTGCCTCTGTGTACATAGGTTTGTTTTTAATAACTATCAAAACCCTCCACTGCACATCCATTCCTCCCTGAGGGGAGAATGAACCACAGGCAGCAGATGTTAGTCATGTCACTTAAGGAACCGGGAGGTGCTCAGATACTACAATGATGAGACCAATACAAGAATCTATCTAGAATAGAATCAAATCAGTGGAAGAACCCAGATGGCACGTGGAATGGAAATGTACAGAACTGAACCCAGGGGCTCCTGAGTCACAGTCTAGTGCCCTGGTCACTGGACCATCAGAATTTGGGCTGCAATATATTGTTTATGTAACACAAATTGTCATGGGAATGTACCAGCCCAGGCATGAAATCAACTTGCCCTCCCATTACAATGATGATGATTATGATGAAAATATATTTAACTTGCTCATCAAACAAACACTGAAAATTACTCTTCCCAGGTGAGTGCGGCACTGCCATATGCCTTCCAATACCTCTGCATTACTTGAAACTTTGCTACAGTTAAGCTTAACACTGGTGCATTTCTTAGCTTTTATTATTTGACTAGAAGTGCAATGATAACTTGATCAATGAATCTAGCATTAAAGCACATTCACCCTTCAAGTCAGTGTTATCTGCCTTCTAACTAAGATATTTCTAATCTTTTCTAAGGCCATATCTACCGTACAAAGTTTGGTCACCGTAAGTTACGTTGGCATACAGTGACCAACTTTTGTGTATTCCTCAGGCACATGCACACTTGGCTGTTTGCACTGGCACTGTACATACCACAAGTGGTTGTGCTGATAGGTGTCCCAGTGTGCCCTAAGCAGACATCTGGCGTAATGCCTTGTGGGATATTTTTGTAGTGATTTGCCCATGGATTTCTGGGAAGTAGACGTTAAGGTCCCACCATGCCACTTTGTAGGATGGACAATGTTTTTTCCATCCCATAATTTCCACACCATTTAAAAAACTCTTCCAGTTCCGTGTGTTGATTTGCAGTCCTCTACCATCTCCCAGGCAGAAGCATGAACCATACAGAGTTCAGTGCAATTTTAATTACCATTGTTAACACAGTACGCATGATTCTCCCATGTTATTGGTGCACCTCAGTCACTCCTATTCTCTGCCTGAGGCACATAATAGTCCAGTCTCCTATGGGCTCTAATACTTTGTTCTAATTTTGGTTGTTTGATTTAGTGGGGAAGGGCTGGGTGGTGGTATGGCCCGTGATATACAGGAGATCAGGTTAGATGAACTGGTGGTTCCTTCTGGCCTTAATTTCTATGACTATGATTTGCATATCTACAACCAGGTGTGCAAGGAGGAAGAAGAGATGTTCAACGATGATGACTGGAAGCTGATGGACCCAGCAAATAAAAATGCCAGGTGACTACTGGCATTTACGGAGCAGATCCACCTAGTGGTTTGTTGCTTCTGGGCCTGAAAAACAACCACTGATAGCTGGGATCTTGTCACAATGCAGGTTTGGGATGATGAGCAGTTGCTGCAGAACTTTCAGATGTGGAAGGCCACATTCCTGGATCTGTGTACTGAGCTCCAGCCAGGGACACCAGAATGAGATCCGCTTCGACAGAGGAGAAGCAATCAGCGATCACACTCTAGAAGATTGCAGTGCCAGATTGCTTTCTGTCACTGGCCAATCTATTTGGAGTTGGAAATTCCACAGTGAGGGCCATCGTCATCCAAGTGTGAAAGGCCATTAAATGTATCCTCTTGCCCAGAACTCTCAGCAATCGGGTGAGGTGATAGACGGGACACACATCTCTATTCTGACACCAACCCACCTAGCCAGTGAGTACATAAACACAAAGGAATACTTTTACATGGTCATATAAGCGATGGTGGATCACCGGGGATGCATCACTGATATCAGTGTGGACAGGCCAGGAAAGGTGAATGATGCTTCCATCTTTAAAAACATAGGACTTTTCTAAAAGCTGCAAGCAGGAACATTCTTTCCTGACTGGTGCATTCCCTTTGGTGATGTTGAAATGCCAATAGTGATTCTGGGGAAAGCAGCCTATCCCTTGATTTCCTGGCTCATAAAGCTGTACACTGGCCACTTCGACAGCATCAAAGAAAAATTGAACGACCAGCTCAGCAGGAGTTTGATGACAGTTGAATGTGATTTTGGTAGATTAAAAGGTCACTGGGGATATTTACTAACTAGTTGGAATCTCAGGAAGGCGAACGTCCCAAATGTTATATCTGTGAAGTGAAGGGGGGAAGGCTACCGGCAGGATGAGGGGGAGAGGTGGACCAAATATCTGCTGAACTCGAACAGCCAGACTTAAGGGCGATTAGAATAGCCAACCATGGAGCTATACAGCTGAGGGAGACCTTAAAAGCATGTTAACAGTCAGCCAGAGTAGTATTGTGTGATGCTTTTATGGACTGCTAGTGTGCCTGAGTGTATGGAGGGGAAGGATAGCTCAGTGGTTTGAGCATTGGCCTGCCGTTGCCATTGGATTGCTATTGTAAGTGCTTCACCCAAGGGTGAAGGTGACAGGGAGTGAAGAGATTGGCAGTATCAGAACAAAACTGAAGGGATGTTTTTAATTTAGAGAGTTTAAAGTGGGGGGGGGGGGGAATCTTTCTGAACCATAAGTTTAGGAGGTGTCATTAGAACCCTTTGGACCAAATTAATTGCTGGTATAGTTTTAGTGAGTGACACCAGGAATGAATTTGGCCCCACCAGCATATAAACACCATCTCTGTATCAAATTTCTTTTACCACTTGTGCATGGTTGCTCTATAGCCACAACAGTTGTCCTTTGCCACTGAGTTTTTTAGCTGGCAATTTCCTTCAGATGTCCCTTACTGGCCAGAACTAGACAAGACTGACTCCCTCCCTCCCTCCTGTGAAGTGCTCCTGCTGCAGGATGTTTTGCAGGCCCTTCACTATGACTCGGCTGCTTTATTTTACTCCTTGGCTCCCTCTTCCTTCAGATGTCTCTTAAAGGTGAGGACACCCCTGTCCTTCTTTCTCCCTCGTTTGCCACATCTCACTAGGATGTACAGGTTGTGTATTCTGTTTAAAAAAACTGGGTCTTTTTCTCCAGCTTGAGAACTGATGGTTCCTCCCTCTCCTAATTTGTGATCTCAGTTTCCCATGGCATTGATTCTACCAGTACTAGCTCCACTCCACCACTTTTTTCCCTTAAGGAGAACTGCATTTTTGTTCACTCTCTCTCTAAATAAAGGCACCCACCCTGACACTGTATGTGGGACATGAGCTAACCTTTTTACATGGAGTCTATATGCCCATATCAGGATTAAGTAAAGCTTACAGAGATTCTAGCATGGGGTCTTATGCAATACCCACTAAAGGAAACTGTGAAATAATAGTCTGTGATATGCTTTAGAGAGCCCACTGCAGCCTCATAGATATACGCAGTGCTACAAAAGATTAGGTCAGCTTTGTAATGCTTCGGACTATACTTAAATTAAAATTATATACTGTATAATATATTATATAATACTCAAATTAAAAAATAATTTTGCACAGGAGCTTACAGAACATTTAATAAGGCTGCAGGCATCCTCTGAAGTGACGAGGTGTAGTTCCATACTATCCTGGGATGCTCATGAGTTCAAAGTATTCTAAGGGACAGCCCAGAACTCAGAGTTGGTGAGAACCCTCTTTCCCCAGAAGTTTTTGCTGTTGTATTTGCAGTGGGACTTGCCTTCGTGACAAACTGTCTTCATACTGTCTGTAAACTGTGTCTGCTGCAGAACTACCAGTAACGGTAATACTTAGTTATGGTCTGTCCCATGCATTTTTGTGTTAGGCTGCATGCAATTGAGTTACCTCCAGTTTGCAGGGTTATGAAACTCTCCCCAAAAGTATGGAAGATAATTAGGAGCTAAAGAGATTTTATGTGATCATAGAATCATAGAATATCAGGGTTGGAAGGACCTCAGGAGGTCATCTAGTCCAACCCCTTGCTCAAAGCAGGACCAATTCCCAACTAAATCATCCCAGCCAGGGCTTTGTCAAGCCTGACCTTAAAAACCTCTAAGGAAGGAGATTCCACCACCTCCCTAGGTAACCCATTCCAGTGCTTCACCACCCTCCTAGTGAAAAAGTTTTTCCTAATATCCAACCTAAACCTCCCCCACTGCAACTTGAGACCATTACTCCTTGTTCTGTCATCTGCCACCACTGAGAACAGTCTAGATCCATCCTCTTTGGAACCCCCTTTCAGGTAGTTGAAAGCAGCTATCAAATCCCCCCTCATTCTTCTCTTCTGCAGACTAAACAATCCCAGTTGCCTCAGCCTCTCCTCATAAGTCAGTGGTCCCTAAACTTTTTTGTCTGGCGGGTGCCAGACCATGAGCCACGGAGGACCATGGTGACGGACGAGCATCCGCTGAAATGCCGCCGACAAGCAGCAACGTCAATAGGCATCGCTGCCGAGAAGCAGCGTCATCCAGAGGCATCGCCGCTGAAATGCCTCCGAAAATTGGTGACATTTCGGCGGCGACGCCTCTGGATGACGCTGCTTCTCGGCTGCATTTCGGCGGATGCTCGTCCGCCGGCCAGTACGCGGGCACACTTAGATGCCCCGGTGGGCGCCATGGCGCCCGCGGGCACTGCGTTAGGGACCCCTATCATAAGTCATGTGTTCCAGCCCCCTAATCATTTTTGTTGCCCTCCGCTGGACTCTTTCCAATTTTTCCACATCCTTCTTGTAGTGTGGGGCCCAAAACTGGACACAGTACTCCAGATGAGGCCTCACCAATGTCGAATAGAGGGGAATGATCACGTCCTCCGATCTGCTGGCAATGCCCCTACTTATACAGCCCCAAATGCTGTTAGCTTTCTTGGCAACATCTTATGGTAATGTTCCATTTTGGGTCTGCAGTCTTCATCCTACCTCTTTTGTACCCCATGCAAGTCTGCTGACGGGGCGGGGGGCAGCAAAGGGGGCAATTGCAGTAGCGGCGGTCAGGAGCCCCAGACCGTTTTAAATTGCCCAGGTGGGCTGCAGGGCTCCTAGGCATAGGTGCCGCGTGGGTGCTGAGCACCCACCGGCGGACCCCTCCTTCCCACCACAGAGCCTCCTGTCAGCAGCGGGCCCCACCGATTAGTTCATCCCTGTCCCCGCCAGTGCCTCCTTCCCGCCGCCGTCAGCTGTTTGGCAGTGTGCCGGAGGCATTGGGGACGGGGTGGAGCGGGGCTGGGAAGAGATGGAGCGGGCCTCGGTGATGCATGGCCCAGATGCCAAGAGTGGAAGGGGTGGTTGCCTGAGAGAGCCTGGCTGGGGTGGTGACTTCCGCTCCTGGCTCAGGTGCTGGGGTCCCCGGCTACCAGGGAGCGGAAGCCGCTTCCTCCCAGCCAGCTGCCGGGCAGAGCTGCAGAGCAGCAACCTGGAGGGGCCGACATTAAAAGTGGCTCCCTCCTGCTCCTGCTCCTGCCTGCCAGGGAGAGTAGCAAAATGTGCTGGGGGGGGCAGGTGCAGTGGGAGGACAAAGAGCCCCCCCCGCAGGTAACATGGGGCATGGAGAGTGCAGTGGCCCTGGGGTGGGCACGGGAGTGGGTGGGGGACACGTAACCTGCCCTTTAGATCGTGCCCCCCCCACTAGGGGGAGGGACCAGTTGTTTATGGGGCACCCTCGGGGGCGGGGGTGGAACAGGGCTTGGAAGAGGTGTGGTGGGCCGGGGCTGGGGCATTGGGGAAAGGGGCCTAGGATGAGTGGGAGGGTCGAGCACCTCCCGGTAAATCTGGAAGTCAGCGGCTGTGTTCCTAGGCGTGTGCGGGGTGGTACTGGTGATGGTTAAGGCAGCCGGGCAAGCATGTGGAAGCCCTGTCTGTGTCGGAAAAGCGCACCCAGCAGTGCAGCCAGCAGATCATAGGGGCCTATTGACTCTTCTGCCCGGGGGCCCGGAATTCCTGTCGGCGGGCCTGACCCCATGGGAGGGGTAAGGGGTGAGGTTGTGCTATGGTCAGAGATAGGCATTTCTTTGGTCTTTTAGTGTTTTATACCTTCCCCCAAAACCCCCTTTGCTCCTCCCACCTCTTTGCTTGACTTTGCCTTGAGAGAAGAGCCAGGCAGCCTTCCACTGTATGCTCATATATTACAGTCCCACCACTCCCACCTGCAACATTTTAACTGTTCTGATCTGTTCCCATTATACTAACAAACCCATCTGGCTAGGCAGAAGCAACACACCCAGTGTCTTTGTTTACTCATGTTAGTATAAGAGTATCAAAAGGTCAAACCCAAAATTCTATCCCAGGCTGACAAACAAGCCTATATACTAAGAGTGTCTTACTGTCTCTGTAGAGGCTGCGAACTTAATACTTTCTCTGTGAGGGTCCAGAGAGAGGGACTGATCCCTGCAGTAGGATGATTTGGGG